TAGGGTTTTTTTTTTTTTTTTTTTTTTTCTTCTTAGAAGTTGAGGTTCAAGTTTGATGAGTAAACTAGAGGAGTTAGGTTTGAATTTTGTATTTACTTGTATTTAAATCTTTCCTTTTCCTTCTAGAGATAAAACTTGAACTATTTCTGCTGCCCTTACATGGATTTTCTGAAGCAATTTTGCATCAAAGCATGATTGATTCTAACAGCAACCGAAACATATATATACTAGATGATTATGCTCATTTAGAGGCCTAAAAGTACCAAGAATTTACAGGAAAATATAGCACCCGAGATATTATCCGAATCCCGACATGTCTTAAGGCCTATACTTTTGATGATTATGTTCATTTAAAGTCCTAAAAGTACCAAGAATTTACAGGAAATATAGCACCCGAGATCCAAAACCCGACATGTCTTAAGGCCTCTACTTTTGATGATTATGTTCATTTAGAGTCCTAAAAGTACCAAGAATTTACAGGAAATATAGCACCTGAGATATTATCCGAATCCCGACATGTCTTAAGGCCTCTACTTGATGATTATGTTCATTTAGAGTCCTAAAAGTACAAAGAATTTACAGGAAAATACAGCACCCGAGATATTATCGGAATCCCGACATGTCTTAAGGCCTCTCCTATTATATAGTAGATGTGCACACTGAAGTAAAAGGGAAGAACAAGAAAAGGCTCAAGATCTAGAGTTTTAGGAAAAGAAAGTACTATCATATTCTTTCATATACAGCAAAAAAACAATGTGGAGGACAGTTTAAGGACAGGAATTCAGCTTTTATGATTAGGAAATCAAGAACAATTTGAACATGATTCCTTCAAGAACAGTTTATAAAGATGTACAATCACGGCACACATTGCATTTAACAGATAAGGAATAAAACTTGGAAAGAAAAAAAGAAAGAGATCATAGGAAATCGATTCATAACCTCCCATAGGTTTGAGCTATTAAGCTTTAGCAGTCTCGTTGTTATTCGGTATCGGTACCCCAGTCCAAATCTTCATCATCTTCAGCAGTACTCAACCGCTTTCGCATTTCCTCTCGATTGATTATCCCGCCCTGAGTTTCTGTTTTCTTTTCCTCAAGAACACTCAGATCCTCGATCTCATCCCACCCGAGATCTTCGTCCTCAGGCATTGAAGGCTGTGTCGAAACAATTGAAACATCACTTTGTTTCGAGGATTCACCATGATCAGACCTGGCGTCCACCGCCACCTTCTCGTCTGATTTCAATCCTTGATCTTTGCTATTCAGCTCAGAGCCACCATCCAAATGGACTTTTTGATCAGACCCTTTCTCACCGTCTAATTCCTCGACATTTCCACCATTCTTGTTCGAATTCTCCTCCTCCTTATCGTCACCAACAGAACTTCCTGCCTTCAATTCCTTGACAGGAACTTCCTTCTTTGCCAATGTCGAATTGGCGGTGTTCTCCTCTTTCACCGTCTCACCGACATCCCCTTTCGACTTGACATCGTACCCTTGTTCATCGTCGTCGTCATCATCAACATCCCAACTCAAATCCTCCTCTTCTTCATCAGCAATAGCTCTCTTCACAAGATTTACCCTCACTTTCTCAGCTTGCTTAAGCTTGTGCACTTTATAAAAATACCTATACCAGAATGTTTCATCATCAACAACACTAGGAACAACTTTTTTGTGTATATTATCCAATGCTCCATTTTCTTCAAGCAAGTTTTCAATTTCCTCACTTCTATCACTCAGCACAAATTGTGATTTCCACTTCTCATAATCATCCACATCTTCAGGTTCATCACAGTAAGTGGCTGTGTCGCCTTGAATCGAACGAACCTGAGCATCAAACCTACTGTAGGGCTTGGAAACCGAGTTTCTTTGATTACTCAAATTTTGGTTACTACTATTATCAGAATCAGATTCATGATCTATGGCGAGAATCGCATCCTTACCTTGTGCGATAATCTGAGCCGTACCTTTCAACACGGAACTACCGAATTCGTCGAAGACGTGCCCTACCGTCTCCAGCGATCCCTGAGCGACCTCAATTTCCTTCTTCAAACCGGAACCAAATTCCTGGAGATCCCGCCGGTAGGTTTCGACAACCGATTCCGATTTGGCACTCAAAGTCTTGAGCAAACCACCGAAGCTCCACGCCCCGGCAGCCGCGTAGGAATCGGCGACAGGGCTTGGAGAACTCGGATCCGACGATTCTTCTCCTTTCAGCAAGGATTTTTCAGGCGATTGAGCTTCAGATTCGGACGTTGTCGAAGGATCCAGATCGTCGGTGAACACCGATCTGAAGAAATTCATTTGACGGATTTGAGAGAAAAATTGATAAAAAAAAAAAATGGGGGAAAACCAGTTGCGATTGTCGGAGAAGAGCAGAGATCAAAAGAAGCACGGATTTGAAGACTCTACTGAAACGAAGTTCGGAAAGGAACCAGTGTTCGTCAAGACGGTGGGAAATCTGTATATGGAAGAACTCAAGGCCACACCATAATCGGTAAAATTCAAAACCTCAATCCCATTTCAAACTACAGTTATTTGTTTCGGAAAATTTCCAGGGATTATATATATGGTTTGATTTCCACTCTGTCTTTAGGTTCTCTAATGTTAAATTATGCTAAATACATCAAATTTCACCCTTTAAATTTGTTTTAAAAACTAATTTTCTATTAATAATAATTTAGTAGACATGACTGTTTTTGTTTTTTTGTTTGTGTTCTTGTTACGTTCAGGAGAGGTGTTCATATGGCTTGAAAGTCTAACCAACTCAGATAACCCAACTCATGTTGGGTCGGGTTAAATGTTTTTTCGGTTTAGGTTGGGTTGAGTCAATATAACCAACCTGAAAATAGGGTTACAACTCAACCTGGCTCGCAGTGTTTATATGACCCGAAAATCTAACCAACCTAAATAACCCAACCCAAACCTTAAATATTCGGTTAAGTTAAGTGTTTTTTCTGTTTAGGTTGGGTCGAGTGAACATGACCAACCCGAAAATAGGGTTACAATTCAACCTAACCCTTTCTTAAAATATACACGAGTAAAACCTATAACCATATCGAAAGACCCTTTCTTAAAAAAAATGATAACTTAAAATAGGTTTCTCTAGTGATTAGATTAAAACGATCCTAACCAATACACCGACTAACCTCAACAACGAGAAGTGCCTTTATATTAAGCCTCGTAGGCTACAAAGCAACCAAATTTATTTCGTATGTTCGTAAAACCTTTTGATTCGCTCAATCTAGCAAGAAAAACTTTAAAAGTGTTTACCTTTAGACGGATCCAGTTCCCATTCGGGAGCCAAAGCTTGACTAATAAGGACTTCCCACCCAAGTCAGCAAAAATCTTGGAGTCTCCATTTTAGTTCCGTAAAGAGGTAAATATTCGGATTCATAGCCCATTGAATACCTAGTTCCCCAGCAGACGAAGTATACGCACTTGATCGAGTTATTTTTTTCTATTGATTTAGTCCCATAAGTAATAGCAGAGATGACAACAGAGCTATAGTTAAAGAAGCCGCCGGGAAGCAAAGACACCAATAAATAGCTACATGGGTGGCACAGAAACAGTAAGAGACAGAGAAAAGTAAGATAAATAAGACTATAAACTCGGCAATTTAAAATTTAAAATTAATTAATTGAATTTTATATATAATAATTTTTGAAACTTTTTATTTTGGGTCTAATAGATTCTTAAACTTAGTTTCTAAAAAAATTAAGAAAAAAAAACGTGAAGAACACAATAATAGAAAAGGAGAGAAATTGAATTGGATCATAACACTTTCTATTCACAAATTCACAACAAGTTCAACCAATTCTTGTTCTTGTTCTTCCTTCATGTTCTTCCTCTCTCTCTTCTCTTTCTCTTTGGTTTTCCACTTACATTGTGGAAACCTCTTAGATCTAAAAATTAGGGTTTGTTTTGTTGTTGGTTTGTTTGTTTGTTTTTATCCTCTTTCCTCTCTCTCTTCTCTCCTCCCCTCTTCTACTCTTCCAACGAATGAGTGGCTGGACGGTAGAGATCATAGGGAGCCCACAGGTGATCCACGGTGCAGGGCTTCCTAGAATCTAGTCTTAGCCAAGGCTTTCCTTTGCCGCTCCAATGGAGGAGACTGATCGGACCAGGGTGGAGGCTCCGGCATTTGCCTTCTAGGTTATCGCCTCCTAGCCCGTGCTGGTTCCACCGGTGGTCCACGGCGTGGATGTTGCCTGCAAGCACGAGGAGGAACGGCGGCAGAGAGCCTAGGTGGTATATCCGCCGTTGCTTCTGCACTGACATCCACTCTTCCATCTTTTGCGTGAACTCCCCGTCCCTCCACTTCTCTACGTCCACTACCATTACACCTGTGTTCAATCAGAATATTCGCTAAAACTACCCTATTTATAATCATTAAATAAATTAAAAATATAAAAAATAATTATTAAAACGAGGAATAAATAAATACAATCTATTTGTTAATAATAAAAATATAGATATTTAAAAATATTTGCTAACACTACCGTGATAAAATTCTCTATGTATATATAATTATTAAATAATTTATTAAGGAAATAGAAAATTACCATACTTAAAGAAATTCTCCTCATATAACTATTAAAAAATTTACCAAAAAAATAGAAAAAAAAATTGAAGAAGTGCAGTAAATTGATACAAGATATTTGTTTAGGTCAAATATGATACCTATGATTTGAAATTTAATAATAATTTTTTTATACCTGTATTGAAGTAGTACGTGTTTTTTAGAATATTTACAATTATTGAATAAATTATAAAGAAAATGAAAATGAAGGTAATAAATGAATACAAGATATTTAACTATAATAGAATATTTACAATTATTGAATAAATTATAAAGAAAATGAAAATGAAGGTAATAAATGAATACAAGATATTTGACTATAATAGAAGATGAAATGTAATATCTGTGGTGAACTGTAATGAGGTGGAAATGTAATAATGAATTTTTTTATACCTGTGTTGAAGTAGCACGGGTTTCGTCCCTCGAATGTGCTTGCTAGCTTTGGGTCCGACCAGAATTGGTCTGTAAAGTACTTTGTGAAGTTTGCATGGCAATATTCCGGTGCTCCTAATGCCTGTGCATGAGCGAACATAAAATTAAAATAGATTAAAATATTAAAAAAAACCTATTTTTTTTTTTTTTTATGAAATTGAAATGTAATAATGATTAAAAAAAAAGAAATTGAATAAGAAAAGGAAAAGAGAGTATAAATAGGCAGTTGAGGGATTTATCTTGTTGAATTGAAGTTTTTCATTTTTACCTTCCCGCCCAAATCCACCCCCCAAAGCTCTGCAACATCGTCAACAACGACCAAATCGGAGTCCAAATAGATCACTCTCTGCACCTCCTCCGGAAGAATCTCCGCCAGGTAAATCCTAGCGTAGTTCAATGGCTGATCCAAAGCCTGACGAATCGATTTCGAAATTTTTCCCCGAACCCTACCGGCGTCGAATCGATAAACCTTAAATTTCAGGTAAGGAAATGTCGATTTGATGCACGAGAACACCTCCGGCTCGTATCTCGCCCACAGGAAGTGAAATTCAACATTCTCGGGGCAAGTTGAGTGTTGAAGAATCGACAAAACGGCCGCCATTGTTCCTCTGAGGTAATTCGCATCCAATGTCATAGCGACGTGAATCTTCTCATCTCTATTGCAGGAATCGCCATTGCGAAACGCAGGGGCTTCGCGGAAGACAGGAACGTCGGAGGAAGGCTTGCGGATGATCCCTAGGCGGATTCCGGCGGCAGAAGCGGCGGTAGAAGCGGCGGTAGAAGCGGCGGCATCGGGGAGGAGGACAGACAGGAAGAGGCCGAGGAAAGAGATGGAGAAATGGAGGTGGAGGAGGTTGTTGCAGACGGCCATTCCTGCCCTGTAAAATTGAGTTGGAAATTGAACGGCAGGGGAAGAGGGGGAAAAAGGCTAGGGAAGGGAGTTTGGTGAAAGATCAAGAAAGAGAGAGAGAAGGAGTGATTGCAGCCATTGTTAGGCTGGTTTGGAGAATGGATTAGGAAGGAAGAAGTTAGGGATGATTGATTAGAAGGGATAAAATATGGATTTGAAGGAGGTTGGTGGGGATTCTGAGGAAGGGAAAATTCTTAGGAAAACAAATGCCTATTTCTGGACATGGTGATTGATGATGATGGTCGGATTATTGAGAAACGCATGAAACCATGCCTTTGCGCCGATGGAGGTACATTTTCTAAATTTCCTTTCATCATCCATTTCTTTTCCACCATTCACTAACTTTTCAACACAACCTTAGAATTGTTGTAATGAAAATTGCCGATCCATATTCAAATCGAGTTCTCGTGCTTCAATTCAAAAATAGTTACCATTCGAATTAGTATCTAAGAACTTAGATGGATAAACCTTCTATAGTTAGAAAAGTTAACATCAAATTAAGAATTTAGATGAACTGTACAACCTAAAAGCATCGTAGTTGAGGCTTTATCTACGAGTTTTTTACATTGTTGTCGACTTCGTTCTCTCTACATGTGTAATATGACAGCATCCATTATAAACTAAAAAATCATCAAACGTGTCATTTTTCATTAAATATTATTCATTTTATTGCGATAAATGTAGAATTAATGCCATTTATTTTTTTTTTGTTACCATGAATATTATTAATTTATAATAAAATATATTTTTAAACTTTAATATACAAACTTAAAAATATGAGTGAGTGGTCTAGAATATATATTTTTTCTTATTTTAAAATTAGAAAATTATACTTATTTTAAATTATTAATTCTACGTTTTAATGGAAAAAAAAACGATATATTGTAATTTATTATATGTGTATATATATATTAAGAGATATGAAGAAAAAAATGGTGAGACAAACATAATAAAATTAGGGGATCTCAATAAAAAAAAGTTAATTTAAAAAAAAAAATCATAGATTTAAATGAATTTCTTTTAAATTTAGTTATTTTAAATGAATCATGACTTTCCAATTTTCATCGGTTATCTTTAAAAAGAATTACATAATTGTTTTATTTATTTATTAATATTTAGTAAGATTGTAAAAGATTAATAATTTTTAAATTAATTTAAAATGAAATCACGTCAAAATAGTTATTTAAATTAATATTAACTATTACTTCAAGGTTTTAATTATTGGAAATTATTTTGGTTTTTGTCCAATTTTTAAATTTATTGTTCGAAAATCCTAACTTTCAGTCTACCCGTCGCTCGTCTCTACATGGTATCTGCAAATTCTCGACTGCGCGCGCCGTCGTGCGACTTGCCGGATACTGAGCTCACTTCCCGCCGCTCACCGTTCTTCACTACGCCTGTTCAGAGTCTCTCCTAGATTTCTCAGAAAAAATCGGATTGGAAGTCGAAATAGCATCGCAGATGGAGAATCCGGAAAGTGAGAGGATTACTACGAACATAAATTGGAGGCTTCCGCTACATATTTTTCAGGTAATATTCTCCAAAATCCCTATTTTCGGCCTGCAGGTTCTTCTGTAAATCTTGGATTGATGCTGATTTTAAATTATGAAGGTGCAAGTATATATGTTTGATGGAATTGCTAATATTGTTGATGAATATTTGCTAATTTTTAGGCTAATCTTATTTAGGATTGCTACCCCGCCATTTCATCATTCAACGGCGCCACCTCGTGTTTGGTTTTTTCTTCAATCTTCAACGTTATGATACACCGTCATTGCACCTCATACTTCAATTGAATCCTCGCCGTTCCAGTTCAGTTCTTTTTGACCTCTGCATCTTCCACTCATACCATTTCTTTCATGTCCTTCCTGAAACAATGTAGAACGTTGATCGATGCAAAGCTTGTTCACCAGCAAATTTTGGTTAATGGCTTCACTGATTTGGTTACACACGCCATTGGAGGCTACATTGAGTGCAATGCATTTGGACAAGCTGTATCGCTCCTTGAACGTCTCGTTCCATCTCATTCCACCGTTTTTTGGTGGAATGCGCTGATTCGACGCTCTGTGAGGCTTGGTTTTCTTGATGATGCATTGTGTTTTTATCGTCAGATGCAGAGACTTGGGTGGTGGCCTGACCATTACACCTTTCCATTTGTTCTCAAAGCTTGTGGTGAGAAATTGTCATTTAGATGTGGTACCTCAGTTCACGCCATGGTTTGTGCTTATGGGTTTGAGTCAAATGTATTTATTTGTAATTCTGTTGTGGCAATGTATGGGAGATGTGGGGCATTGGATGATGCACGCCAAGTGTTTGATGAGGTGCTTGAAAGAAAGATAGATGACATTGTGTCTTGGAATTCAATTCTTGCTGCTTATGTACAAGGTGGGGAGTCAAAAGCTGCCCTCAGAATTGCCTTTCAAATGGCTAAGCACTACAATTTCAAACTTCGCCCAGATGCTATTACGCTTGTCAATGTTCTTCCTGCATGTGCATCAACATTTGCGACTCAACATGGCAGGCAGGTACATGGATTTGCGGTTCGGAGTGGATTGGTGGATGATGTGTTTGTAGGCAATGCTCTTGTGGATATGTATGCTAAATGCTCGAAGATGAATGAGGCAAACAAGGTGTTTGAGCAGATGAAGGAGAAGGATGTGGTTTCTTGGAATGCTTTGGTAACTGGCTATTCTCAGATTGGTAGCTTTGATGATGCTCTCTCCTTGTTTAAGAGGATGCAAGAGGAAGATATTGAGTTAAATGTGGTAACATGGAGTGCTGTGATTGCTGGCTATTCTCAAAGGGGGCATGGTTGTGAAGCCCTTGATGTATTCAGGCAAATGCAACACTGTGGGTTGGAGCCAAATGTTGTTACTCTTGTGTCTCTTCTTTCAGGTTGTGCTTCTGTGGGAGCATTGCTTCATGGAAAGCAAACACATGCATATGCCATAAAAAATATTCTCAACTTGGATTGGAGTGATCCTGGAGATGACATGATGGTTTTTAATGGCCTAATTGATATGTATGCTAAATGCAAAAGCTCGAGAGTTGCTCGCAATATTTTTGACTCGATAATAGGAAAGGACAAGAACGTGGTGACTTGGACTGTCATGATTGGTGGGTATGCTCAGCATGGCGAAGCCAATGATGCAGTAGAACTTTTCTCTCAGATGTTCAAGCAGGAGACCTCTTTAAAGCCTAATGCCTTCACTCTATCTTGTGCCTTGATGGCTTGTGCACGTTTGGGTGCATTAAGGCTTGGAAAACAAATCCATGCCTATGCTTTGCGTCATGAAAATGAGTCTGAGGTTTTACATGTAGCTAATTGCCTTATAGACATGTATTCCAAATCAGGGGACATTGATGCTGCTCAGATCGTATTCGACAACATGAAGGTACGAAATGCTGTTTCTTGGACATCCTTGATGACAGGTTACGGTATCCATGGTCGTGGTGAAGAAGCTCTACGTGTTTTTAATCAAATGCGGCAAGTTGGTCTTTCAGTTGATGGGGTAACCTTTCTTGTCGTTCTTTATGCTTGTAGCCACTCTGGAATGGTGGATCAAGGCATGAACTACTTCCATGGTATGGTCAAGTACTTTGGGGTTGCACCTGGAGCCGAACATTATGCATGTATGGTTGATCTCTTGGGCCGTGCAGGTCGTCTCAATGAAGCAATGGAACTCATTAAAAGCATGCCAATGGAACCGACCCCAGTTGTATGGGTGGCTCTACTAAGTGCCAGCAGAACCCATGCTAATGTCGAGCTTGGGGAATATGCAGCAAGCAAATTGATGGAATCTGGGGCGGAGAATGATGGTTCATACACATTACTTTCGAACTTGTATGCGAATGCGCGACGTTGGAAAGATGTAGCTAGAATCCGAAGATTGATGAAACATACTGGGATCAAAAAGAGGCCGGGATGTAGTTGGGTACAAGGCAAGAAAAGCACTACAACCTTCTTTGTGGGTGATAAAAGTCATCCACAATCAGACCAAATATACAACATTCTCTCCGATTTGATTCAACGCATCAAGGACATGGGGTACGTTCCTCAAACAAGCTTTGCTCTTCATGACGTTGACGACGAGGAGAAAGGCGATCTCTTGTTTGAGCATAGCGAGAAGTTGGCTGTTGCATATGGGATCTTAACATCAGCTCCAGGACAACCCATTCGAATAAACAAGAACTTGCGCATATGCGGTGATTGCCACAGTGCCTTAACCTACATTTCCATGATTATTGAACACGAGATCATATTGAGAGATTCCAGTAGGTTTCATCATTTCAAGAAAGGCTCCTGCTCTTGTAGAGGCTATTGGTGATGGACAAATTGAACCAAGACTATGAGGTAACTGTTTTATGTCATTTGTATTAGGTAACTGCAAAAATATTTTGAATTTATATCTAGTGATTATTAGGAAATACATGTAGATCTTTGAATTCACCTCGAACTGTTATTAAGAGTCTATCACATTGTGGCAAATGCAAGCAGATATTTAGAGGCTATCACCGATATATTACTACCTTCCATAATATCTCGAGTGACTACTGTACCTTCTATACATTAGCAATCTTTACAAAGTTTCAATTCGGATCCGAAAGCCTCAAATCATGTTCGAAAAATTGTCCATTTCTCTGAAGTCTCAGTCTGTTTTCTGAAACCATCCCAACTGCAGATGAAAGTATGTTTTAGGGGAGATACTTAGAAGGAAACCACATTTCTATTAGGTTCATCATATGTGAAGAAACAATCATACCTTCCAAGCATACATTCCAAAAAAGGCTATGGTGTCAGCTGACCAGACGACTGCAAAAGACTTCAAGAAAAATGGAATTATAACATTGAGTAAGGGGACGAGGAGGAATAGATAGTTGAGAGCTTCTTTCTCGTTCTTTGAGCAGTCTCGTGCTCGAAGCGAAGGTATTGCTGTCATTCAAAATTTTCACGTAGTTAGTAGAAGCTACCTCGAGTTTCTCTAGTGAAAATATGAAACTTATTGTAGCCAAGATGGAGAAAGTTGGTTGAAAACAGTCGAGATGACATAGAAAATGAAATGTAACAGCCCAAGTCCACCGTTAGCAGATATTATCCGTTTTGGCCTGTTACGTATCGCTGTTAGCCTCACGGTTTTAAAACGCATCTGCTAGGTAGTGGTTTCCACGTCTTTATAAAGAATGTTTTGTTCCCCTCTCCAACCAATGTGGGAACTCACAATCCACCCTCCTTGGGGGCCCAGCGTCCTCGCTGCCACACCGTCCGGTGTTTGGCTTTGATACCATTTGTAACAGTCGAAGCCTACCACTAGTAGATATTATCCGTTTTTGCCTATTACATATCACTATCAGCCCAGCCAATTCTGTTTCCACACCTTTATAAAGAATGTTTTGTTCCCCTCTCCAACCAACGTGGGATCTCACAATCCACCCCCTTGGGAGCCCAGCGTCCTCGCTGACACACCATCCAGTGTCTGACTCTGATACCATTTGTAACAGTCCAAGCTTACCACTAGTAGATATTATCCGCTTTGGCCCATTACGCATTACCGTTAGCTAGCATCATGATTTTAAAATACGTCTGCTAGGGAGAGGTTTCCACGTCCTTATAAAGAATGTTTTGTTCTCCTCTCCACCCAACGTGGAATCTCACGTGAAATCTAACAAATACAGTACCACGATAGAACAAAAAATTATAAGGGAAAAAACTTACTGAACATCCATATTGACCACATTCCCATTAATCTCCATATATCTGGTTCGTTGGAGGGGAATAGAAGATTAAAAGATAGCACACCACCTAATAACATTGAGGCATAGCCTTGAACCTCAAAAACAGTATATAAAGTAGTTCCAGGTACTGCAGGATTCTTTGAAGCAGTAGAGGCCCTTGGTGCAAATGTTGCAGCAGTCTTTTGAACAACCTGTTATGAAGTCATTGAAAGTGTGAAGTGCTTAGATATCAACTATACACAAGCTTTCTCTTCAAACTAAAATGCACTCTCCTGCGTTTTTACTTGGAATGAATGCTTGTTGATTCTTATTGGCCTTGGATCGTGTGATCCTTATTTGGAATGAATGCTTGTTGATTCTTATTGGCCTTGGATCGTGTAATAGGTTTAGTTGGAACATTTGGAACACCGTGATCCCTATCAGTTAGCCTCTCTCCCTAGAGGAAGGATGCAAGAGCACCTCTTCCATTAACGACGGTTCATCTCGATTACGCCCCCGTTATGACCAAAAGAACTCATTCACCAACCCAAAGGAAGTTAGCACAAAAAACTTCACCTTCTTAGGAAGATTAACCTTCTAGAGAGAGAGGTGGACATAGAAGCTTCAAGAGCAGCTAACGAGGAACGAGAAAGAGTGGCAAGAGAAACTCGTAGGCAAGATCTTTAAAGCATAGATCCTTAAGGTAGATAATAATGGAAAGAAAAGGAATTTAAAGGCTCCTTGGAGAATTTTCTTAAACCTTTTGAGTCCTTTATGTGAGATCCCACATTGGTTGGGGAGTAAAACGAAACATTCTTTAAAAAGGTGTGGAAACTTCTCCCTAGCAGACGCATTTTAAAAACCTTGAAGAGAAGCTCGAAAGGAAAAGCACGGAAAGAACAATATCTGCTAGCGGTTGGTCTGGGCCGTTACAAATGGTATCAAATCTAGACAGAGGAGGCTGTGCCCCAAAGGGAGTGGACACAAGGCGGTGTGCCAACAAAAATGCTAGGCCCCAAGGAGAGTGGATTAGGGGGTCCCACATCGATTGGAGAAGGGAACAAGTGTCAGCAAGGACACTGAGCCCCGAAGAGGGGTGGATTGAGATCCCACATTAGTTGGGGAGGAGAACGAAACATTTTTTATAAGCGTGTGGAAACCTCTTCCTAATAGAGCGTTTTAGAAACCTTGAGGGGAAGCCCGAAAGAGAAAGTCCGAAGAAAACAATATCTACTAGCGATAGACTCGAGCCATTACACTTTGTTTCGGGAGAAAGTCCAAAAATGCCTTCATGTATCAAAGAAGTTGAAGAGCTATGTGGTCTTCTGATAGCCATTCAAGAATCCATAGAGAACCCATCAGTACACTACGTGCTATTAATCCCATTAAACAACTTCCATTCGCCCTAAAACTTGAAAAATAGAACCCCACTAGACAATTCCAGAACAAAACTTCAGGATTCAAGTAAATTTCGAAAATCCAAATCAAACCCATTAAACAATCACAACAAAAATCGTAAAAGAATCAAGAAAAATGACAACTACCCACTAAATTTATCATTCAAAATCCACAAAAACGATGAACAAACCTTCTTGAGGTCTTTATCCAGCGCAGGAGCAGTGGACGCCCTGCTTTGCTGCTGGGCTCCGGCCGCTACCTCGTCTCCATCTTCTTTAGACCCCTCGGCTGCCTCGGTTTGCAAGTCGTTGGAATTGGCGCGTAATCTGTGGGCTCTTCTGATGGCAGAGAGCTTCAAAGAAACGGCGGATCTGTGGGAGAATAAGCTTGGGACATCACAGAAATGGCAACCAGAAGTGGGTATTAGAGCGTTCATAGCTCCGCTATGGATAAGAAACGCAGGCCTGAGGTGAACCTGCCTGCACGGCCTGTGGCACTATGAACCGTAACCTTAATTATTTTTATTGTTTTTGCTTTAAATATTATTCCTTTTCTTTTTTTAATTTTCTTTGCTTCATTTTAGTTTATATATATTATATCCATTCATTTTTATACTTATTTTTTCTAATAAATATTAAATTTTTTGAAATGTTGTTATTAATTTGTATTAGGTTTAAATTTTATAAATATAAATAAATTGGTCGAAGGGCTAAAATTATAGGGATTGAAGTGAACATTTTAATGGTACGATTACTAAAGTAAACTAAAGCCAAAATATTTTTTTTTCTTTAGAATTTTAACACGATCGAAATTGTTAGCCTAGCAACGTGAGCCTCAACTAATAAAAAGCATGTATCATCGACTAACATGTACGAAGTTCAAATCTCTGTCTCACACATTGTAAAAATATTGTAATGTTAACATGTTAATCTGAGCATACAATAAGACAACATATCACAACATTTCAGATATCGATTGTTTAATCTTTTGATCTAAGCTTGATTATGGCTCATTTTTTTAGTTCGACTACATTTAAGGCGTGATATTCGAACCTCCACCTCTTCGGTTGATGGTACGTATTGACTACCATCGAGTTCAGCTCCATTGGACCTTAGTAACTCAAAATAACAAGGTATGGATTCCACGTATTATTATTTAGTTTTTTTTTTTTCATTAATAGAGGTGAGACTATGCTCGTATTGACGTTATAATATAGTTTATCAATTAATGTGACTTTCAAATGCACACTACTACGTTTGTAACATTATTCTAAACAATAGAATATGACACGTGACATCTTATTTTATTATTATTTTCCTTCTCGATTAAATTAAATATTAAATAACGATATCGTTTTTAACTAGAATAAACAAATTTAAGATCTTAAATTTTGGATCATTCTCTCAATAAACAAGTGGATGAAAGTCAAGGGAGAGAGATATGTTATAACTTGTGAAGCAAAAAGTTTTGTAATGGAATATTTATTTGCTATTTTCTATTTTAATCCCATTTAACCCGTTCTTTGGCCTATCAGTAAAATTCGCACCATCTCGTGTGAATGGTTAGAATTCTAAGCAGTTAAATTCAGTTTGACAAAATTATCGTTTAATTTTGTCAGTTGAAGACGGTGGTGTTTAAGACAAGTTGGTCGTCCGGTCGTATGGTGTTATGGGTCTAATTACAAAGCTAGTTGAGTGGTGGTTGCATGTTTAGAAGGAAGGACAAGTTGGTCGTCCTACCTAGTATTAGGTCACGTACTTGTCGATCCCTTTTTGATCGACATGGGTCTCTTGATTTACTTTACAATTTTGTTGTATGTTGAAAGGAAAAAAAAAAGAGCCATGTATCTCGGACTTTTTCTCTCTCAAAGGAATGAGTATTTTCGAGGTAGAAGATCGAAAAAAATAGGGGTTAGAGAATTCCTAAGAGAGGAAAAGAGCCGAGTCCCAAAGACTAATTCTGACTGAAACTCCCACTTATCGGTCGAGCTCCTTCATTGAGACAGAAGAAAGGATTCGAGAGGAACTTTTTTTTTTTCTTCGTAATTCTTCTTTCTTCATCCGAAAAGGGAAAAAAATTGCTTTTAACAGCTCGGCCACTCTCCCGAAACCCAAAAGAAAAACAAATCGAGTCTTGTAAATACGCTCGATAACCGAGCGAAAAAGGACAAACCAATTAAAAAAAAAATAATACAAGAAGTTATTATCTCCTTCTAGTGAACAGGGGAAATTTCTAGTAGCTCCTCCTTTCAATTGCTACAATTTTTTTTTTTTTTTGGATAATGCTTTAATTGATTTTTTTTTGTTTCTAAAAAAAACCCCTTTTTATTCCATAGATACTACTCAAATAAATTTAATATTTTCATTTTCCTTTAAATTTTAATACAATTTTATTTTCTAATAAAGTTAGATATTTTAAAAATTAATCTAAATTTATTAAAATGTTTGATTATACAATATTGTTTGTAACGACGTCGTGATAAATATATTAAAAATTTGTTGAAACGTGTACCTCGAAACACCTCAAATAATTATTTTTTTATACTTTGATTGCGATTAATTATAAATAATCTAATAGTGTCAATTTTTCTTACATTCTTTTTAAACGATGATATATTACGATGAAAACTTTGTTTCATTAACGTTTTAATTATTTGGGGTTTTGGCCTAAACATAGTTCCAGACTTCAACCAATCCGAATTTAGGTACCCATTTATCTAATTCTACGCGCATTCCAGAGCTTCGGTGATGCAATTGGCTTCCCCGGTTAACGAACTTTACTGTCCAAGACACATGCCGTCAATTTTGGCGCTGACGCCCCCAGTTCATCGATTCTGATTCCTTCTGTTGCAAGCCAATAATCAGCTCACGTTTTGACTCTCTGGAACTGGATAGCGTCTGATATTTGTATATCTAGCGCTTCCTGGGAATGGGTTTTTCTCGATTTTGATTGAAATCGAAAACCCATTACTTGAGCGGCGCTAACGATGGAATCGAAGTGATTGCTTTTCAGTTCGTCCTAATGGGGAGTTTTCTTGGTGGATTTTTGTTGCCTCTGCTGCTTCTAACTGGTAAGCGTGAGCTCATTTTTTGAGATGTTTGCGTTGGTTTATGGCTTGAGATTGGTTGAGGGCTTGCTGTGTTTTTGGTTAGTTTAATACTCCGATTCAAGGAGGTAATATGTTTGTGATTAGGTTGTTGTGCTTTTCTACTTATTTTGATTGACATTTTTTAGGATCTAAACTGATATAGTGGGAAGCCATGGTATGTGGTGCTAGTGCTTGACATGTTGGGAGGGGAGGTGTAAGGGTTTTGAGATGTTTGGGGATGAGGTTTATAGCTACAGGGTGAAAATTTAAGAAGTTGAAATTCTTGTTCTGTTTTCGAGCGTTGGCGGACTTCGGGTGGGTGAAGCGAACTTACGCAAATAGTGGTTTTGTTCTTGAGAGACTCAAATAACTCGTACTGTTGAGGATTGTTGGGAGGGAGTCCCATGTTGGCTAGTTAAGGAGATGATCATGGGTTTATAAGTAAGGAATACTATCTCTTGTGAGATCCTACATTGGTTGGGGAGGAGAAAGAAACATTCTTATAAGGGTGTGTATACCTCTCCCTAGTAGACGCGTTTTAAAAACCTCGAGGGGAAGCTCGAAAGGGAAAGACCAAAGAGGACAATATCTATTAACGGTGGGCTTGGGTCGTTACAAATGGTATTAGAGCCAGACACTGAGCGATGTGCCAGCGAGGAGGCTGAGCCCCGAAGGGGGTGGTCACGAGGTGGTGTGCTAGCAAGGACACTGGGCTCCAAAAAGGGGTGGATTGAGGGGTCCTAGATCAATTGGAGAAGGGAATGAGTGCAATGAGAATGTTGGGCCCCGAAGGGATGAATTGTGAGATCCCACATCGGTTAGGGAGCTATAAGCGTGTGTAAACCTCTCCCTAGCACGAGTTTTAAAAATCTTGAGGGGAAGCTCGAAATGGAAAGCCTAAGGAGGACAATATGTACTAGCAATGGGCTTGGGCGGTTACAATCTCTAGTGGTATGAGGCCTTTTGGGGAAACAAAAAACAAAGCCATGAGAGGTTATGCTTAAAGTGGAAAATATCATACCATTGTGGAGGATCGTGATTCCCAACACGTACTCGTAGACCTTTTACTTCATATGGTTCTATGCCTTGCATTGTGGATTGAGTAATCCACTTTTGATCAAAGTTTGGCTTTCAATATATTCATGAAAAGAGTGCAGCAATGAGGAATAGTGTTCTAACCCTTATTATGAAAAAAAAATGGAGGGGGTGATAAAGTCCTCTTCCACATGCCAAAGTGGAAAAGAGAGCATATCCTATATCCTTTGGAATTGAGGACTTACGAGACGATATATTGTGTTGATACTTCGTTCCGATCCTTAAGTTCCTTATATTTACCAGAGTCCCTAATTACCTTGAACATAGATATTCGTGCATTGACCTAGATGACCTTTTCTTGATCTCAAGGTGTTTTTTCAAGTTCAATTTGAACAAAAAGCTATGTTAGATGTAGGAATCTGAGCATATAACAATTTAAACTAGGCCATGTGTAGCTACCATCCCGACATTGTCACGTTTTGGTTGACCTTTGTCATAGGCCACCGCTTTGACTTTGAATTGCTTTTGTCTTAGATTGTGCATTCTTTTGCTTTTTCTAGAAAATGCATGCTATGTTGGAATTTTCTTTAGGTGGTCAGGTTTCTCTTGCAGTTTTGCTGTTAGTATGATTTGTTTTCATACCGTATTTATTTGGATAGGGAACAAACTTTGTATTACAAAACCAAGTTCATTTGGAAGAGGGGTACGATATGTGAGATCCCATATCGGTCGGAGAGGGGAATGAAACATTGCTTATGAGGGTGTGAAAACCCCTCCCTAGTAGACGCGTATTAAAACCGTGAGGCTGACGACGATACGTAACGGGCAATAGCAGACAATATCTGCTAGCGGTGAACTTGGGCTGTTACACGATATACCCTAATCCTAACTAATAAGGAGTTACAAAAATCTCCCCAGTCGACGACATAGATATGAAACTAGAAGTTACAAAATAAACTAGCACACAAAACTCTTTGAAGTCTACTGATGATATCTGTAGACCACTTCTGTCTTACCATTATAGGCATTCTACTAAAGAATTGAAATCTTCAGCATTAGACATAAGTCACCATGGTTGGATGAAAATGTCCCACATCGGTTAATTTAGGGAGTGGTCATGGATTTATAATCAAAGAATACACTCTCCATTGGTATGAGGCCTTTTGGAGAAGTCCAAAGCAAAGCCATGAGAGCTTATGCTCAAAGTGGACAATATCATACCATTGTGGAGAGTCGTGTTCGTCTAACATGGTATCAGAGCAATGCCCTAAACTTAGTCGTGCCAATAGATTGGTAAATCCTCAAATGTCGAACGAAGGACTCCAAAAGGAAAGGAGTCAAGCCTCCTCGAAGGCAGTAAAAAATGACTAAGACTTCAAAGGAGTCGAGCCTCGATTAAGGGGAGGCGTACTTTGTTCGAGGGGAGGTGTTGGATGATGTAAGTCTACATCGGCTAATTTAGGGAATGATCATGGGTTTATAAACAAAGAATACTCTCTCCTATGAGGCCTTTTGGGGAAGCCCAAAGCAAAGCTATGAGAGCTTATACTCAAAGTGGACAATATCATACTATTGTGGAGAGTCGTGTTCGTCTAACAACCACAAGCTTCAAGTAGATATTCTACAACTCTCTTAAGCAAACACCTGTGTAGTGTAGAAGATTTACCCAACTTTTATTAGTGAAAAAGCAATGGAGAAATGGATGATTAAAGGGCTATCCGGAAATTTGTTTTGCAAGTACCTTTCTAAATGTTACAGTAATTATGATTCTTTTTAAAGATGAGGCATTTCATTAATATGAATGAAATTACAAAAAGAGTGTGAGATCCCACGTTAGTTGGAGAAAGAAACGAAACATTTCTTATAGGGGTGTTGAAACCTCTCCTAATAGACGCGTTTTAAAACATGAGGCTGACGTTGATACGTAACGGGTCAAAGTGGATAGATAATATCTGCTAGCCGTGGGCTTGAGTGAATATTTTTTGTTTGACCTTCTGAACTATTAACTAACACTTTTATTTTCTCCTTTTTCTGCAGCGGCTCTAATCAATTGGAGTTTGGTCTCTCTTGCTGATTTATTGGTGTTTCTTTTCATTCAATTTAATGCACATAAAATAGGTAATTTACTGTCAATGCTACAGTTGATAATACCATTGTTAGGTTCATAGTTACTGTTTGTTTATGCCTAGTTAGTTCATATTTCACTGTTTCTTAGAAACTAAACAAATTTCATTGATCAATGGCTTTATAAGCATGAGGCGCAACCGAAAGAGGGCTAATGGGTGACAAAAAGGATCCCAGCATGCAAAAATCAAGGAGATAGGATACTTTCACTAATATTTAGATAATAGGAGCCAGAACAAGTATTAGGGGAAAATAAGGGTAGAAATGGAGTTCGGTTTTTACACAGGCAGTTGGACTCGACTTACATCGAACAATCTTACTTTTCTCTCTCTTCTTCGTTCCCCCTGTCTTTCTTTGTCTCCTTTGTCTCTCAGCAATACATCACATACCCAATAACATTTTGCAGCAGTCTTTGCACACTAGAGAAAGTGAAAATTATATCACTCTGTTTCCTAACACTTTGAAAACGTAACCACTTTAATCCCCACTGTTCGCTCACGTGTTATTATTGTATTTGTTTATATATTTATTCATTACTTGGTATTTTACATGGTGCTTCGTTCTTGTAGGGTTTATTTTTGGTCGGCGATTTTTGGTATTATGGCCAATTATCATATTCTCTTTGCTTGTTATTCTTTCTCAAGTAACCTTTCTTGTTATATGGTCTCTTGAGGGATATAATTGGAGCTTAGCCAATGCATGGTGGGCTAAGCTGATTGGTTTCATGACGTAAGATCCGAAAGATAGCATTTTCCCTTTTCCTTTTCGTTCACCTCTGCTTCTTCTAGCTGATTTATTTTTTTGATGCGGATCATTTGCAGAATTCAGTCATGGAAATCACCTTCTGTTATTTATTTCTTAGTTGTACAGCTGTTAGCAATTTTTGTTGCTGCTGCTGATATCTACTGGTACAGAATTGGTCTGGTTCCAAGGGGAGATTCATGCTTGGTTCAATTCTCATCTTTTGTTGATCGTCTAGGTTTGTAGATATTCAGTACCATTTGAATATTAATTTTCTTTCCTTCCGTAAGATTATTACTTCAATTCAATATGCATGCCTTGTTCTAGAATTTGATGCACATTCACCAAAGTATATAATGCATGAAAAAAAGAGAGCAAATAATGAATTTGTTGTACTCGCAAGTTATAATAGTTTCCTCGATATCTTTTTGTGTCGATTTTTTTAATAAGCACTTTAACTCAAGTGTCCAATAATTATCTGTCGATAAGTTTCATCCAAGTATCCAACATCGTTCGATCAATATTGGAGTGTCAGATTCATATAGAACATGGATACATTGCCCAAACACAATTGTTTATGAAAAAAAAACTAGCACCAACGCTAAGGCTTAACATGCAACTTGTCCTTAAAGCTTTACGAGCTTCTATGATTTTTCTTTATTTTTTATTTGACTTTACAGAATTACTCCTCTCAGTATGTGGGGTCTGAGCACCTCATTGGCCTTAACTGGCTAGGTTATGTCTCCAGTGCTGTCACTTTGAAGAAATCAAGGTGCTCAAAGCACTATTATAACTTCCATGTCTTTCCTTTGTTTCATTTTTCGCAACGCACTTTCCTCTTTTGTGCATTCGTTTTACAATTTTATATATTTTGCTTCTTAACCAGGTAGAATTTTCTTTCTATTCCTGAATTAAAAGTTCATCATGTCTGAAGTTGATCCACATTTAAAGGAATCATGAATCATATGAAATAGTATAGTCGACTAAATCAACTTTAATTCGATCACTTAAGCTTTTAGGACTGTTGGTGTTTTATCCTTTTTGTCAGGAAAGGAGGATTAGTGTGGACTAGTTATCAATCAACCTTTCTGCACATGGAGCACTTTGCACTCTATACTCATGTACAAAGCCCTCTTTTGCAATTAAATAGTCTCGCAGGAATTTAATTTCTGTTGAAAATGGCAGGTTCTCATCTAAGGGTTGCTTCCTGTTTGCTACTTCCTGCCATTCAGATTATTGTGGGAATTAGCCATCCATCATGGGTTTCTCTTCCATTTTTCATTGGCAGCTGTGTAGGTCTGGTGGATTGGTCTTTAACAAGCAACTTTTTAGGACTTTTCAGGTTGTTCTTCTGAGATCCTCGATTGTTTCCAGGCCACAAATTTTGGTGCACGTGCACTCTATTTTAGTTTGAAGTTGTTTTCATCAGTGGCAGCTTTTTTCTGTTCTGACTTTGCATGCTATTTGAAGGTGGTGGAGGCCTCTTCAACTATATGCAGGTTTCATTATTTTTCTCGTTTATGCGTATCAGCTTCCAGTTGGGTATCCTAGTATGTTGAAATGGGTCGCTAAATTCATTGGTCTGTCTAAAATATCATCAACCTCCGAATGGCCCGAGATCTGCTCCTACGTTTCTCTTATACTTTTCTATATCATGGTATGTAACTTGTTTGTCTAATTATTTTTTTTCGAACGCATGGTCCGCAATCTTCTGCTCGACTGATTAGTTTATTGTAATGCTTCCTATGCAGCTTTCTTGTGTTAAGTGCGATCTTGAGGAAATGGATTTCATTATGTCAACGAGGGAAAGCAACTTAGTGGAGCAGCTTCTTCCCTCTAAGCATTCATTTTTCATTCGTGAATTGAGGTCTCAAACTTAAGTTATTTATATCTGGTTTGCATAATATTATTTTTCACTTTCTCATCAAGATATTTGTTTTTTCCTTTTTCACCCCTTATTCACATCCGTTTGCTACGGTTTCTTGAGAAAAAGTTGAAAAATCGTCGATTCAACGCTTATCTTTACTAGGGGTATTTGTATTATTATTGTAGTTCTTTTGCTCATTTATGCCTGCTGTTGAATGTTGCAGGTCTGGTGTGAGGCACACTAATGTTCTGTTAAGGAGAGATGTGTTCCGAACATTTACTATTAACTTTTTCACGTATGGTTTCCCGGTATATATTTCTAACCAAAGTCTCCTCATTGTGGACCAGAGTATACTTATGTTTTTGCTCTTCATGGGTGTATAATTGTATCAACTTTGTGGGTTGTAGAGAGTCATGGGTGTATTACTATCTTATAGATGTGTCGTTGAATATAAATACGACACTATATATGAAAGGAATGTTGATTTGGTTTCATTGTTTGGGCTAGATATTTTGTTATGATTTTTCCAGTTTTGAACGGTATCGTTTGAGCCTACCTGAGTTCGGGAGGTTAGGGATTAGTAGCACGAGTTGATTTCGTTTTTATTTTTGTTTTTTGGGTGAAAAATGTCTGATGAAGGGATAAAGCTCGTTTTGTTAGTGGCTGTGGAGGCTTCCTTTGGAACTGAGTTCCCTCTTTGGAACAAACTGACTAAATGCAAATTTGTCGAGGATTCCTTGGGCTAGTTCATAACCACTAGGTTCTTTTTGCCGACCTTAGTAATGTGGGCCTGTGACTCAAGTAGGGGTTGATGTGGGAACCGTCGATGTCACAGATTTTAATCCTCATCAATGGGTTGGTCTGTAACGGCCCAGATCCACCGCTAGCAGATATTGTCCTCTTTGGGCTTTCCCTTTCGGGCTTCCTCTCAAGGCTTAAAAACGCGTCTGCTAGGGAAAGGTTTTCACACCCTTATAAATGGTGGTTTGTTCTCCTCCCTAACCAATGTGTGACATCGCATGGTCGGTGGTTATCAAAAGAAATACAGCAGGGGAAGAAAATAATAAGCACTAGGTTTTTCGAAGCCCTCTTGTCTTTTATTTCTAGCTGTGAAGCCTACATTAGATTGTAGTAGTTTTTCGAGATTGGAAATGACAAATCCAAAATTTTGAGATGACTCATTTCTCTAAGATCACCCCTATTAAGATTTATTTAAAGCTTACAGACTTCATTGTGACAGGTCGCCTTGGTTGCTCTGTCCTTCTGGAGTTTTCATTTTGCAAGTCTATGTGCATTTGGATTACTTGCTTATGTTGGGTACATTGTATACGCCTTTCCTTCGTTATTCCGCTTGCATCGATTGAACGGGCTGCTGCTTGTCTTCATTCTCTTCTGGGCCATTAGCACATATATTTTCAATGTAGCATTCACGTTTTTGAATCGGAAGATCGGGAAGGTATTACTGAATTGAAAAAAAAAAAAAATGTTTTCTTCATTAGGACACAACCATCAATTGTTGTCTTTCTTGGTTATGTCTGCAGGACATGCATGTTTGGGAGATGGTGGGTTTGTGGCATTATCCTATACCAGGATTCTTTCTGCTTGCACAATTTGGTCTTGGAATTTTGGTTGCATTGGTTAATCTTGTAAACAATACGGTTTTCCTTTGCTCGTCTGGTGAGGACGAGCGTTCTTCAAACGACAACTCCAGTGTTAGAGGTAACTACTTATTACCTTAGCTTATGAGTTTCAGTTACTGCTATAGGTTGGATGGTTTTTCTTGTGTATAAGATCTTGTATTTGTTTTGAATCTAGAAACATACATATCTTTACTTCTTCCCAAAATTCAAGTTGGCATTAGAGCAGGTCTCGAAAAAATCTAGCTACCATCTAAAACTCTAGCTGTCGTTTGAGCTGTCGTTTGAAATGCCGAATTCTACCTCTAGCAAGTTTCTTCGGTAGCAGGTGTGCATAGGGTAGGTCAGTTCATTCGAGTTTTTAGGGTGCCATCGTGAGTTTTTTCATGCTCGTCCTCTTCAGAAGTAGTCGTGAGTGTTTTTCCTTTCTTCATGGATATTCGTTCATTTCACAAAACACTCATCCTTTCACCCCATATGTGTACATAAGTATTATAGATGCAACAACTTGTCTCTTTCATAAAATCGAGGTAGACGAAACATAATTGTTGAGGTTGTCCGATACTAAAAGTAACCAGACAAGATTCATGAAAAAACATCCACTGTAAAGAGAGAACTTTGAGAAAGAAGTTTGGGGTAAAATTCAACCTTAAACTCAAGTGAAGCTCCAACGATCAACTTCTCCGTCCTTGATGGTTTTCTTCCAGAATTTCTATACATTCACGATGAGTTTGATCCTTGGCTGCATCGTTGTTCATTTGCCTTGAATTCTTATTACCGTCGAAATCATTGGTTATCTTCCTATTGGTTGTCAATTCCTTGGTAGCAGTTAAGTTCGGTTTCTCTTAACGATTTAATTTTCAGAGGCAGGAGAGACCAAGGTATTAATCGTGGCAACTATTGCATGGGGTTTGCGCAAAAGCTCTCGAGCTATCCTGCTAACGTTGATATTCCTCGTTGCAATGAAGCCCGGTTTGATCCATGCTGTGTATGGTATGTTTTTCTATGCAATTACTTAGTATAGTGGACATTTACATTCCTTTTGTTTTCTTATGACATGAAAGCTAGAAATTTTTATCTTATTGGTTCTATGTTTCAATGTTATTCAGTGGTGTTCTTCCTCTTATACCTTTTGAGCCACGATGTTGGCAGAAAGATGCGCCAGGCTATGATTCTTCTGAATGAGGTTCATTTTGCATTATTATATCTTCTTCAGATCAACTTGGTATCTGATGTGTTAGGTCGGGAAGGTTCTTTATGCCGAGAAATTCTGTTGCAACTAGGTATGTGCGCGTTTTTTCTTCCGAGGATATTATATTACGATTTATAAAATGGACGTTCTGTTCGGAAGTTCGGTTATTGTATTTTATCACTTCTTTCTTCCTCGAACGTTTTTCAAAATCGTGTTGAAACAGGTTGCAGTGACCTTTTTTTTTCGATGCTTTGGTGCAGGTCTCCTTGGACGTCGTGATAGCACGTGGGAGTTCCTGGAAATAGCTCTGCTTGCTTGCTTTTGTTCAATTCATAACCATGGTTTTGAAATGCTATTTTCGTTTTCTGCCGTTGTGCAGCACACACCCAGCCCCCCGGTTGGATTTAGCATTTTACGAGCTGGTCTTAATAAATCCGTTCTGCTTTCAGTTTATACAGCCACGTCGAATAATTATTGCCATGATAATCCTTCGCACGGTATAGCTATTCAAAACTTATGGTTGATTATATTGATTCTCCTATATGTTCTCTGATACATTGAAGAAAAAGTTACTGCTGATGTGAACTTGATTGTTGGTTTGAGTTATGTTGGTTGAATCAAAGTGATGCATGAGGGATATGAACAGCTTTGTTTAGGAAAACGTTTTTGAGGCTTGCAGGGGAATATTGTTGCTTACACTCTAGTAACTGTCTGTTTAGAGTATAAGAGCGACAAATAATTGCTTCCTCCCATAACGTTTTAGCATCCTGAATGAATCTCGATCTTTCTTTTGGCAACACTATTTTGTTGAGAAGTGTCGGTGCAATTTGATTCGTGGATTATACTATTTTCGGTTTGGTTTCCTTGTACTCTTGAAAATACTCTCTTTATCAATTTAGATTTAGCCTTTGTTCAAAAGAGAAAGCCCGAAGAGGACAATATATGCTAGCGGTGGGCTTGGGTTGTGACAAATGGTATCAGAGCCAAACACGGGACGATGTGCCAATGAGGTGGATGAGTCCCAAAGGGGGTGGACATGAGGCGGTGTGCCAGCAAGAATGCTAGGCCCCGAAGGGGGGGTGGATTTTGAGATCCCACATCGGTTGGGGAGGAGAACGAACCACCCTTTATAAGGGTGTGGAAACCTCTTCCTAGCAGACGCCTTTTAAAAATCTTGAGGGGAACCCCAAAAGGGAAAGCCCAAAGAGGAAAATATCTGCTAGCGGTGGGCTTGGGCTGTTACAAATGATATCAGAGTCAGACACCGGGCGATGTGTCAGCGAGGAGGCTAAGCCCCGAAGGAGGTGGATTTGGTGGGGGGTCCCACATCGATTGGAGAAAGGAACGAATGTCAGCGAGGACGCTAGGCCCCTAAAGGGGGTGGATTGTGAGATCCCACATCGGTTGGAGATGAGAACAAAACACCCTTTATAAGAGTGTGGAAACCTCTCCCTAGCAAACGCGTTTTAAAAACCTTGAGGGGAAGCCCAAAAGGGAAAGCTCAAAGAGGACAATATCTGCTAGCAGTGGGCTTGGACTGACGTTTTTCAACTCGGTTATCCATTTTCTTTTATGACTCATTTATTTTGTTTCTCTGCAGAGAGAAAGATTGCATCATTCCTCAGTTCCATTGGAGAGAAGTTCCTATCCATGTACAGATCATGTGGAACCTATATTGCATTTCTCACTATTCTTCTCACGGTTTGTTTTGTCAAACCAAATTACATATCCTTCGGATACTTATTCCTTCTTCTTGTTTGGATAATTGGACGACAACTAGTCGAAAGAACGAAGAGGCGACTATGGTTCCCATTAAAAGCCTATGCAATTACAGTTTTTATCTTCATATATTGCATGAGCAGTTTTTCCAGCTTTAGGATATGGCTATCCAGATCAATTGATCTTAATTTTTACTTGGGCTACGACTCAGAGGCGTCGTCTTTGCAAAATTGTTGGCAGTCTTTGGCTGTGATGATTGTGATGCAACTTTATAGCTATGAGAGAAGGCAGAGCAGGTATCTTAGTTCCGATGAACCGGGGCTATTAGAATACGGTGCGTTTATAAAACGCTTCCTGATATGGCACTGTGACAAGATTCTATTTGCAGCTCTTTTCTATGCATCCATATCACCAATCAGTGCATTTGGATTATTATATCTACTTGGCCTCGTCGTATGTGCGACTTTACCGAAGGCGTCGCATATCCCCTCGAAGTTGTTTCTTGCATATACTGGAGTTATCATGACAGCTGAATATCTTTTCCAGATGTGGGGGGAACAAGCTGAAATGTTTCCTGGACAAAAGCATGCTGATTTGTCTTATTTTCTGGGTTTTCGTGTATTTCGACCCGGATTTTGGGGTCTGGAATTAGGCTTAAGGGGAAAAGTACTCGTAATTGCTGCATCCACGCTCCAATATAACGTCTTTCGCTGGCTGGAAAGGATGCCAGGTTCTGTTCTAAATAAAGGGAAGTGGGATGACCCTTGTCCACTGTTTGTCTCAGAAGAAGATGATTACTATGATGACATATCCTCTTCTAATGAGAAAAATAAGCCATCATTTGATTCTGGAAGATCGTTTGTACCGCAGGAAGTTTCGGATCATATTTCGAGGTCATCCTTCGCGTCTGGTCGGGCTCAAGTGCCTCATGATGCATCCAGTAAACGAGAGAACTCCGAGTGTAGCAGCAGTAAAAAATCTTCATTTGGATTTATATGGGGAAGCATCAAGGAAAGCCACAAATGGGACAAAACACGAATTACATCCTTAAGAAAGGAACGATTCGAAATGCAGAAGATCGTTTTCGAGATATATATGAAATTTTGGATGGAGAACTTGTTTTATCTCTTTGGTCTTGAGATAACCATGATCTCCTTGCTTCTAACGAGTTTTGCTTTATTAAATTCCGTCTCCTTGTTCTACGTCGGGTTGTTAGCTGCCTGTATTCTTTTGGATCGGGGTATTATACGAAAACTATGGCCTATATTTGTCTTCTTGTTTGCTTCCATTCTTATACTCGAATATATCGCCTTCTGGAAGAACATGATGAACTCAAATTGGCTAATGCCAAGCAAAGCTGATGTTCATTGTCATGACTGCTGGAGAATCTCTAATCTCTACTACAAATTTTGTCTGAACTGTTGGCTGGGTATGAATCTTCTAGCTCTTTGTATCTTGATGTTTTCTTCTTTTTTTGGTGTGTAATGTGTAATGTGTAATGTTCTTAGTGTTGCCTCATACGCAGGACTGACGGTCGACGATTCGAGGATGCTTTTTAGTTATTTTGTGGTGTTCATGCTTTCATCTCTCAAGCTCCGTGCTGATCGTTTATCTGGTTTCTCGCTATCATCTACGTATCGTAAAATGATGTCCCAACGTAAAAATACATTCGTTTGGAGGGATCTATCTTTTGAAACGAAAAGCATGTGGACTATCCTTGACTATCTTAGACTCTATTGCTATTGTCACTTGTTGGATCTTGTCCTGGCTTTGATTTTGATCACGGGAACTCTTGAATATGATGTTCTACATCTGGGTTATCTCGCCTTCGCACTCGTGTTCTTTAGGTTACGACTCGAAATTCTGAAGAAGAAGAACAAAGTATTCAAGTTCTTGCGTGCATATAACTTTGCTCTTATTATACTCTCATTAGCCTACCAATCTCCACTTGTAGGAGAAGTTAGTGCTGGCAAGTGTGAAACCATGCATTACATATTTGAGATGATTGGATTTTACAAGTATGATTATGGATTTCGAATTACTGCTAGATCTGCTCTTGTTGAGATTATTATCTTCATGTTGGTCTCGCTCCAGTCGTACATGTTCTCGTCTCAAGAGTTCGAATATGTATGTCGGTATCTTGAAGCGGAGCAGATCGGTGCCATTGTTCGGGAGCAGGAAAAGAAAGCAGCATGGAAAACCGAACAGTTACAACATATCCGAGACTCGGAGGAGAGCAAACGGCAGCGGAACTTGCAAGTTGAGAAGATGAAATCAGAGATGCTCAATTTGCAAATTCAGCTTCATAACATGAACTCATCTGTTGATGGTAATAACGCTTCTCGAAGTCCCGGGGACGACTCGGTTAGAAAGCGGAGTACTTCTAGGATACATGATGATGCAATGACAACTGATATAGAAGGAACACATGGGAAGGTAGAACAGCTTGAATTACAGGAATCTCTGGCTAATCTAAGAACAGAAATAACAACAGAGTCGAGAATGCAGTCGATGGAGTTACCCGTTGCAGACATTTGTGAAATCGATTCTCAGATTTCAGACGTATCTTTGGATTCAGATAGAAAAAGGAAACATAAAGGTTCGACAAAAGGTAACCCGTTAATGTCTGCTGTACAGTTTATAGGCGACGGTGTTTCTCAGGTGCAATCGATCGGAAATCAAGCTGTTAGCAATCTCGCAACGTTCTTGAATGTCACGCAAGACGACGACATGAACGAACAGACCAATTCCGAGGACAGAGTTTATGATCAGATAGAGAGCCAGCAACCAAGGTATGCAGATTTGGAGCGTTCTTCCTCGCTGCAGTCTGATAAGAGTTCCGACCCTGCAAGTATGCAGTTAGGAAGGATTTTTCGTTACATATGGTCCCAAATGCGGTCCAACAACGACGTCGTGTGCTATTGTTGCTTTATCCTCGTCTTCTTGTGGAACTTCAGTTTACTTTCCATGGTTTACCTCGCAGCGCTCTTCATCTACGCCCTGTGTGTAAACGCCGGTCCGGGTTATATGTTTTGGGTTGTCATGCTAATCTACACAGAATTGTACATATTGCTGCAATATCTGTACCAGATAATCATCCAGCATTGTGGGTTGGCTATCAGTTCAGATCTTCTTCAGGAACTGGGGTTCCCTACAAATAGAATTACTTCATCCTTTGTTGTAAGTTCATTGCCTCTGTTCCTGGTTTACTTGTTCACTCTACTGCAAAGGTCTATAACAGCAAAAGATGGTGAGTGGACGTATTTGAATGCGTTCAATAAAAGCGCTCTCCCCAGAAAACACAGTCTTGGACGCTATGGCTTGACCGAGAGGGCTTACGAAGTCGTATACGTCGGGAGAAAAATGGTGATGGCTATGCTCAGAAGTTCATGGAAGTACTGGAAATCGCTGACTCAAGGAGCCGAATCGCCACCCTACTTTATCCAGGTGTCTATGGATGTTCAAATATGGCCAGAAGACGGGATTCAGCCAGAGAGGATCGAGTCGGGAATAAACCAGTTGCTTCGAGTTATCCATGAAGAGAGGTGTAAGAAACAGAACGCTCGACTTTGTCCGTTTTCTAGTAGAGTTCATGTTCAGAGCATTGAAAGAAGTAAAGAGAATACAGAGGTGGCCTTGGTTGTTTTAGAGGTAGAATATTCTTCTCCTTCGAGCGATACTTGTTCGGAATGGTCCGACTCGCTTACGCCTGCAGCTGATGTAGCAAATGAGATTCGTCTTGCACAACGTAACGGATTTGTTGAAAACACTGGATTCCCGTATCGAATACTCTCCGTGATTGGGGGAGGCAAGAGGGAAATCGATCTATATGCGTATGTATTTGGCGCAGACTTGACGGTGTTCTTCTTCGTCGCGATTTTCTATCAATCTGTCATAAAAAACAACAGTGAGTTTCTTGATGTGTATCAACTAGAAGATCAATTCCCAAAAGAGTTCGTGTTCGTCTTGATGGTAAGCTCCAACTTTTACATATAATTTTTGATAGTATCAACTAGAAGACAGTGTTCTTAGCTTGGATAATGCAGCTGCTACAATTAACTAAACATATTCTGTGTCTCAGATAATATTCTTCTTGATCGTGCTCGATCGATGTATATACCTCTGCTCGTTTGCTATCGGTAAAGTGATCTTTTACCTTTTCAACCTCGTGCTCTTTACGTATGCGGTAACGGAGTATGCATGGCAAATGGAACCTTCCAATCAGCACGCTGGAGAGTTGGCGCTCCGTGCTATATTTCTTGCTAAGGCGGTTTCTTTAGCACTTCAGGCAATACAAATTCGATACGGTCTCCCGCACAAAAGCACCTTGTATCGACAATTTTTGACGAGTGAAGTTTCGAGAATTAACTATTTAGGTTACAGGCTTTATCGGGCTCTTCCCTTCTTGTATGAATTGCGATGTGTGCTGGACTGGTCGTGCACGTCGACATCTCTGACCATGTACGACTGGCTAAAGGTGAGTATTTTATCGTTCTAAAGATACCATTTTACTAAAAATGTCTTAAAGAGATCTTAAATTTATAGGATATATAGGAATATAGGTTATTTGGTGGAGACCTTATTCATAGCTTCATCATTCATTCACTCACGATTTTAAAATGTGTCTGTTAGGGAGAGGTTTTCACACCCTTATAAAGAATGTTTCATTTCTCTCTCCAACCGATGTGGGATCTCACATCCACCCCCCTTGGAGGCCCACTTCCTCGTTGGCACACCACCCTGTGTCTAGCTCTGATACCATTTGTAACAAACCAAACCCACCGCTAGCACATATTGTTCGCTTTGGCCCTCGGTCTCACAGTTTTAAAACGTGTCTGCTAGGGAGAGGTTTTCACACCCTTAGAAAGAATGCTTTGTTCCTCTCTCAACCATGTGGGATCTCACAATCCCACCCCTCTTGGGGGCCCAATGTCCTCACTAGCACACCGCCCGGTGTCTAGCTTTGATACCATTTGTAACCAACTAAGCCCACCGCTAGCAAATATTCTCCGTTTTTGCCCTCAGACTCATGGTTTTAAAACGCGTCTGCTAGGGAGAGGTTTCCACACCCTTATAAAGAATGTTTCGTTTCCCTCTCCAACCAATGTGGGATCTCACCCCCTTGGGGCCCAGCATCCTCGCTGGCATACCGCCCAGTGTCTAGCTCTGATACCATTTGTAACAGACCAAGCCCACCGCTTGTAGATAATGTCCGTTTTGGCCCTCAGTCTCACGGTTCTAAAACACGTATGCTAGGGAGAGATTTCCGTACCCTGATAAAAAAATGATTCATTCCCCTCTCAACCCAACGCGGGATCTCACATATGTAGCCTCATTATAGTTTTTTGCTCACCCCGTGCTCTAAAATCATCTCGAATTTCTTCTCTCAGCTGGAGGACATAAATGCAAGCTTGTACCTTGTCAAATGTGATGCAGTCCTAAACAGATCTCAGCACAAACAGGGAGAGAAACAAACCGTAATGACCAAATGTTGCAATGGAATATGCCTGTTCTTCATATTACTATTTGTCATCTGGGCTCCAATGCTGGTAAGAAACTTCATAGCATAAATTTTTTAAATGTTTCCCATCAAGATCATGCAAGGAGTAGTACCTTTTTGTTGCAGATGTATAGCAGTGGCAACCCAACAAACGTTGAAAACCCAATCAAAGATGCCAGTTGCCAGGTTGATATCAAGACAACTTCAGGAAGATTAACACTCTACCAAACCACTCTTTGTGAAAAGATCTCATGGAACAATTTGAATGCAAATTTGGTTCTTGATCCAGGAGGCTATCTGGGTCCATATAACAAAAATGATATTCAGTTGATTTGTTGTCAAGCTGATGCAAGTGTTCTGTGGCTTGTTCCTGGTGTGGTTCAGTCCAGGTTCATTCATTCCCTTGACCGGAACCAAAATATAAGCGTTTCTTTCACTTGGATACTCACGAGGGACAGACCAAAAGGGAAGGAGGTTGTACAATATGACCGAGTTGTTGATCCTCGAGATCTTCCCAATCCTTCTGATGTTCAGAAGGTTCTGAATGGCTCAATGAATGGCTTTCGGATAAAAAATGTTTACCAAAGGTACTTTCGTGTCACGGGATCTGGTGATGTTAGACCTCTGGAACAAGAGGTACTCCCTTTACCGTGCATAACTTCTATATATTGAAACATGTAACAGCCCAAGTCCACCGCTAATAGATATTGTCCATTTTGGCCTGTTACGTATCTCCGTCAGCCTCAAGGTTTCCATACTCTTATAAAGGATATGCTTTGTTCCCCTCTCCAACCGATGTGGGATCTCGCAATTGGTATCAACGATACGTAACGGGTCAAAGCGGACAATATTTGTTAGTAGTGGGCTTGGGCGGTTACAGTTCTACTCATTTTTACGCTTTTGTGAGATTTTATTCAAATAAAGGATCCAATGATCATTTACAGGACAGTTTTGTCAATGCCGATCTCATCTTGAACCGTGAAAATTACGAGTGGTGGTCCTTCCACGACGTCCAGCCAATAAACGTTAGTGAATGTGGACGTTTCACCGGACCCGTAGCCTTCGTAATCTCTGAGGAAATACCACCTCGTAAGTCCAATTAAAATCATATGACAAAAGATGATTAATAGAACAGAGTTTCAAAATCATATCACTAACCTTAACATTTGTTTCAGAGGGCATTCTGGGGGACACTCTTAGCAAGTTCAGCATCTGGGGTCTTTACATAACCTTTGTTCTAGCAGTTGGCCGTTTTATAAGACTTCAATGCTCTGACTTGAGAATGAGAATTCCCTATGAGAATCTTCCTTCTTGTGACAGGTAATGTAACAAAATCACTTATGTCACGCCCTTTTAACTAAAACAAGAACGAAAAAAGTGATATTGGTCATTCTAAAATCGCTCGTAATCTTGATATATTTTGGGCCAATGGCCTCTTTTTGTAGGTTGATAGCTATTTGTGAAGACATATATGCTGCTAGAGCTGAGGGAGAGCTTGGAGTTGAAGAGGTCTTATACTGGACTCTTGTGAAAATCTACAGGTCTCCTCATATGCTGCTTGAGTACACAAAAATAGATTAGACTGCAAAGTTTAAGCTTACATTTGCTAGATAATTAGATGGCCATTACCGAAAACCGAGAAGATATGCATACGACTAACATCAGTTATAGTGAAAGCCAGCCTCAGGATCAGTGTGTTCTTGAGAGCTTGCCATGTTACCATAGGATGTTGTGGAATACTAAGTAAAAATAGATTCAAGAACATTCATGTTTGTAGATGATCTGGTTAGTGTAATGCAGTAGTTTTAGCTTAAAAAAACAGAGGAGCAGGCTTTCTTTTACTAATTCTATAAGGAAATGTAGGTCTGAGTTGTATGTTTTTCACTTTTTCTTTGAGTAGTTTATGAATAGTTTAGATTTTGAGTTTAGAACATTAGAACAGCCAAGAACAGTTGCACTGATCTGATGCATATTTCATTAATTATGTTTGTTTATAGTCATTGCCTTTTTTCTATAAGGTGAGGATCTATAAGGTGAGGAGGAAGGAAATCTTAAGAGGCTTATCGAGATTGTCGAGGAGACGTCTCATTATACAAAGTGAATCAATTCATATTTACGACAGTATCTACTCCTTTAACGTTGCATCACATCATTAAAATAAAAGTTCAAAATTTTCTCACATATTTATTTATCAGCCATTTTTGACATGACAAAGAATTATTTCTTAAATGGTGAGGACTAAGAAATGACTGTTGCAAGGAACTTGTTTGGTTTTGGACTAGACTCGTGACTATGGCGGTGCAGTATGCTCTCTTGGGACCCCATAATCAAAAGACTAAAGGCACAAAAGGGAGAGTGAGCCGGTTTCAAGCTTGACTTAACTTTTTGTATAGGATGAACAACATAGAGAATGAAAGACAAGGAAAGGGAGAAGTGGGCTTGATGATCGGACAAAAGGAAGGGGCGTGGTTGGTGTGCCACTGGGTCGATTAACATACGTTTCAAAAAGCAGCTATATAGCTTAGCCTTTGATGAAGATCATGGAATAAAAAAGATGCTACTAAAACAATTTAAGGAATGATTCATAACATCACTTAATAACAACAGCTTGTCGATTTGGAACCTAAGGCCGATCATGATGGTTTTATCGCTCGCTTGAACTCTAAACAAAATCTATGCTAACTAAACAACTCAAGTATCTAACACCGACCTAACCTGCTCATATCAATAAAAACTCAAGTATCTAACACTGACCTAACCTGCTCATATCAATAAATGGTAAAAACACCTATCCGAGTATTTGACCCTATTCAAGAGTCGTGTCGAACTCATCCGAGGTCCAAGAATCTTCTCTGATTATCATCAAAATGGCCATATATACAATAGTCCAAATTGTTCTTGTAAATGAACAAGAAAATGGTACAATAATAGGAGGAGAAATACCAAGCTACATCTTTCAAGCCAAAACAGCAGAATCCTTTCACTAACTGGTTTTTTTTCTCAAAGAATAGACACTTGAATGCTGCAATGAACTGATTGTCATCTTCCGTCAATATCAACAGATTCATCCTTTGTTTTCTTACTTCTTTTGCAACTACTAAAGCAAGATTTCAAGATGCTTTCAGGTACAGTTTCTTCCATTACTTTTGGGACTGCAAAACTGAAGTCTGAAAGAGGTATATCCTTGTATTGTGGATTTGCTTCTACAAAGGCTAGCATCTTCGTAGATGATCTAACCGTTTTCCCGGTCGGTGTGACATAGTAAGCGTCTAATTTAGAAAAATTCCTTCTCAGCACCAGACGCCTCTTGAAACCTTTTGGAGTCTTTGGGAGGTTAGGCTTGTCAATGACCCAAGTTCGAGTTGTATCGTAGTCGATATCAGGAGGATCCTCACAAGAAGTGTCGGTTTTCCTATGGCAAGTAAAGGGTTCTTCTATCAATCTGCTTCTAATATCTTCGTACTCTTCTTGGCTGCTTATCAACCTCCATTTGAAGCATTCCTCGCATTGCGCAGCATACAGACCTACTGGCAGCCCTGGAGCCTATAAACTAGCTCATTAGCTTACACCAAAAGAGGCTTCCATAATTAACATGGACTTGTTATTCATAGATTCAAAGCCAATAGATTCAAAGCCAATGCAACCACAAATAAAGATCCCCAGCAAGTTCCAAGTTGAAATTTGTAAAACTCACACTTATGATCACTTAACTTTCACTCTAAACTTCAAGATTTGGAGAAATCAAATTGATCCAGTGATGATATGACTTTAAATAGACTTTGGAATTTGTAAAACAATCTTAGTAAATACTAAGCACTCAAAATTCTCATAAAATTCTCATAAAATTCACCATATCCTAAGACAAAACAGACAAGACCATATCTAAAGAACACAGTCAAGAACCAACTGAATAAAATTGAGTGTGCTAGAACAGCTAACTCTGAATATCAAGACAACTTTCCTACTGCCATTGCCAACAAATATTATGACTCACTTGCAAGAATTTCTGTATAGCTACGTTTGAATTACTGCGAATTGATCGAAAGGAGCACTGATTCTCAAAAAATACTAAGAGATTGACCTACAAACTAGTATCAAGTTTTGCAAATCGCCCTGTTTCCATAGTTAAGCAAATCTCAAGTGATAGTATCCCCTATGGATCAAGATTCAAATCCCCTGTTTACTAAAAATTATTAGATGAAACTGAAAATTTTACACTAATAAACATATGAGAGAAACTACAAAAGTACTTCAAATTTGTGTCTAGTTGATATTAGGGACTATCACCTATACGGTCATTTAGAGGCAGCGGCTGGATCGAATAATTTATCCCTATTTTATCATAAAACATTCTGAACAAAACTTCTGTCATGCCATAGTACTTGTTAAAGGAGAAAAATAAAGGAATCTCAACCATCTCCAAGCAGCATCAGTTTTAGTAGAACCTTTTTCTAGCTACCAATTTTCCATTTGAATCTTCGGAATCGAAGGGTTTCAATTTCCGAGAAGCCAAAAGAAAGAAAATCAATTGAATCCGATCAGAAGGAAAATTATGAGGATATAGAGAACAATTAGGAGAACGAGGATGGAGTTCCGGCCGTACCTTCGCCGGCGTCGTCTTCGGGGGCTTGACGGCGGCCATGCCGCTGGACGATTCTCTCTCTGGTGTGGTCTCCAATCTCCAACTGCCTAGCGGAATTTGTTGGTAGTTGCATCAAATGATGCAGAGCTGCTACATTATATATACATATATATTTAATGGTGAACTCATATTATCATGCGTTACTAAGTATTTAAAAATGATTATTATTATTATTATTATTTTGTTAAAAAAAATTATTTATGGTTAAAATATGGATTTAGTTGATATAAACTTTAATAGTTCCTCAATATTACGTTTAATAACCCGAGTAAGATAAATGATACGTAATTTATTTAATCGAGTTTTCGATTTTTATCTTTCGAAAAATTTAAATTTTTTAAAAATAATTTCATCTATTAAATAAAATTTTAAATTTCAAGTAAATATTTAAATTTTAAAAATTTGAATAATCTCCGTCAAAAATTAAATTAGCATAAATCTCGAAGTTATTAACATAATATATATAAATTTAATAATATTGGAAAGCGTATAAATTTAATATTGTCTTTTTTAGACTTTCACTTCAAGGGGGTTTTAAAACGTGTCTGCTAGCCCGAGGTTTCGACATCTTTATAAGAAATGTCTCGTTCCCTTTCCAACCAACATGGGATCTCACGGCTATGCTTTTTATATTCTTCCTCCAACAGTGAACTTCAAAAGGGATCGTAAAACTAAAAACTAAGTACTTACAAATCTATCTATCTTTACAACGGAGTAGAAGCATGGCATCTAATTCTCGAACCATCCAACTAACCCAACAAACGAAACAAATAACTCATTACGAAAAATCCCCGCTACAACCTTCAGTAGGAGTCTATAGCTAGTTCGTGTTTCAGTTCTCGTGCAACTGATTGTTAGTAAGCTGCTCTTTCTCGAATAGATTCCTCCTTTTACTCTTTGAAAAACAGGGTCGGATTCTTTGATCGGGAAACCGGCCCCGCCCTGCTTTTGGTCGTTCACGTGTAACTATGAAAGCCAATAGAACCAGAATGCTGAACAGAGCCACTACTACTCATAGATCTCTCTATTTCATCAATCTCAGCAACCAAAGAGATGGGTCTCTCAGGGATTGAAGGAACAGAGAGGTCAGTTTCAAGCATTTTCACAATTTGATCCATTGATGGCCGAGCATAGAGCTGTGGATGTGAACAAAGAACAGCAATCAACACATACTTCTCCACAACTTCAGGAGAACCCAGCTCGGGCATACCTTCTTCAACAACATCCATGGCCTTTTGCTCCCTAACCAAGGACCAAGCCCAATCGGTCACTAGAAACGGCTGGCTCTCGGCGCTCCGCACCCCGAGCGCCTTCCTCCCACTCAAAAGCTCGAGAAGAACAACTCCAAAGCTATAAACATCACTCCTCTCTGTCAACTGACCGTACAACGCGTACTCGGGAGCTACATACCCCATCGTCCCGGCAACACGAGTACTCAAATGAGTCATTCCTTCAGGAGTGAACTTAGCTAAACCAAAGTCAGCAACCTTTGGTTCAAAATTTTCATCCAGAAGGATGTTGCTGGCTTTGATGTCTCTATGGATAATTGCGGGCTGAGCTCCATAATGGAGGTAAGCCAATCCCCTGGCTGTGCCAAGGGCAATTTTCTGCCTAATTGGCCAACTCAATCTCTTATCAGAATACCCAAATAAATGATCATAAACACTACCATTCTTCATCAAATCACATACAATTATCCTTTGATGACCCTCTAATGGCGTTGTTGCAATACAATAACCTCTTAAAGCAACAAGATTAACATGTCGAACACTAGAAATTACCTCAACTTCGTGTGCAAAAATGGCGTCCCCTGCTGCAGAACAGTTCTTGAACCGCTTCAATGCGACTTCAGAATCATCAGAAAGTACCCCTTTATACACATTTCCATAGCCTCCTCTTCCAATTATGTTATCTCTTGAGAAATTCCTCGTTGCCCTTTTGATTTCATCGAATGTGAACTTCACCAGCGTCGTGCTTGCACTTATGGATTCCAATCCAGAACCCATTCCTGTTTCTACTCTACGAATTCTGTCGTTTTTCTTTGATTTCCCCTGTTTTCGCCAGAAAAACCATCCGCCGGCGACTACTGCCGCCGTTGCTGCTGCGACGCTGCAACAAATGAGAACTACCAACACCACTGTGTTCAGCTTCTTGCCTGATGAATCCCCCGACGATGGAGGATTAAGCGAGAACAAGCATTTGGCAGTTCCCTGATCCGTCGGTCCGAATGGATTTGCAAACGCCGCCGCGTAGATCGACGGATAGGCAGGGCAATCGGTGACATTGCCGATCGACGGACCGGTCAAAAACGAGGCCTGAACGATCGCAAGCCTCGTCGTGCACGAGGCACAGGGGGAACCGTTTTCGAGCGATTGATTACAACTCGCAACAACGCTAGTCAGCGCCGATTTAGAAACGACTCTCTCGAACTCCGATTTGGTAGTGATATTCATACAGCCCTGAGAGATCCAGCCAGTTTGAAATCCACAAGAGGTCCGAACGTTGAAATTCGGCCGAGTTTCATCAACGACCGATTGGTAAGCATTCCAGCACGAATCGGAAGAGTTCACAGGGGGCAAAAAGGAGCCAGTGAGTTTGAGGTACTGAGAGAGGACGAGGCGGAGACCAAGACGGATGTATTGACAGTCATCGGAGAAGTCGGGGCGGGAAGCGGTGGTGCCCCGCGAGAACTGGCGGAGGACGGTAAAGTTAAGAGGGCATTCAGCGGCGGAGGCGGAGGCGGCGGAGAGGGAGACTACGGTGAGAAGAAGGAGAAGGGTACGGGAAGAAATGGACATCGGAACTGACTTTAGGGTCCTAGGTATCATGGGAATTGGTAGAGAATCGTGGAGATAATGGAGGTTGATTCTTCAAGCAGCCATTAACGACGGAGCTTGGAAAAAGCTCCCATTGGAAAGAAGCTCGGTGGAGGAAATTGAAGGCAACTTCCCAGTAACTTCAAAATGGATTGATCCTTGGAATTGATTTTGTTCTTGAAAAAAAGAATTTGTCATCAACTGTTCATATACCCATCATTCATTGATGTCTCCTTTGATTTGGGAGGTTTTTTTTTTCTTGGGATCTTGTGCCCATCTTACTTTTCATGTTATTCCAATCATCCATTCAAAATTTTATTGAATTAAAATTAATAAATACTTTAGCTCAACATTTAAATAATTTTGTCTGCCATAAAAAATTGCTTCAAATTTAAATATTGATTCGTTTAAATTTAAATAGAGATTTTGAGTTTATTTTTATTTGAACCAAATCCGTTCATGATGACCCGCTGGAAAGTCCTAAGTGTAAGTAAACACTATCTTTTCCGTAATAAAGTCCTAAGTGTAAGTAAACACTATCTTTTCCGTAATAAAATAAATTGGACAGTTGCAGTTAACGTCTTATTTTTTAGAATATGTAATATCTTTTCCATCGAAATTTCAACCCAACATTATACAAAAAAAAAACCAAGAAATAATAAATTTCTAGAAATATATTGTGAATTAAATTCTCATCATAGATAGTTTTTTTTTTTTTTTTTTTTTTGCTTAGAATTTGAAAATTAATAT